CAGCATCATCCGGAGTGTGTTGAAGAGGCCCCTCGGACCCGCGTGTGGCTTCGTGTCGCAGTTTCTCTGTATGCCGACGGTGAGGAAGGGAGGGAGGGGAGGGAAGGGAGGGAGGGTGGGAGGGAGGGAGGGGGGATGGGGGGACGAGGGAGGGTGGGAGGGAGGAGGGAGGGTTGGGGGAGGGAGGGAGGGAGGGAGGGAGGGAGGGGGAAGAGGGGGATGAGGGAGGGCGGAGGGAAAAGGAGAGGGAGGAAGAGGGGAGGGAAAAGGAAAGAGGGAGAGGGAGGAAGAGAAGAGGGAGGGAGGGAGGGAGAAAGAGAAGATATTTATTTGCTTTTTTCGAAAGTTGATATTCCATATGAGTTTTGCTTTCAAAATCTGCTGTTAGGTATTAAAAAATTCAAAACCAATATCAGATATGAGTTTACTTGCCTAAAACTTATATCAGTTATTGTTAAACGAAAATAATATATATATATATATATATATATATATATATATATATATATATATATATATATATATATAAATTAAAAGATAAATAAAAAGTAAAAGAAAAATATATATTTTTTTATTGTGACGTAAGAAAGTCTGGAGTTGACGATCGTATCTTTGAAACCTGTCTTGTCCTTCGCTGACCGCAGTCCACAGCCCTCCTATCCTACACTATCCTATATTCTACTCTATCCTATCTATCCATACCCTATTATCCTATCCCGTCTTTTCCATATCCTATCTTATCCTATTATCCTATTCTAGTTATAGCCAATTATCCTTTCCTATCTTATCCATATCCTATTTTGTTCATATCCTATCCTATCCTACCGATCCTACCCTATCATAACCTATCCTATGCATATCCTATCCCATCCTGTCCCATCCTATCCTAACCTCGACGCCAGATCCTATAGGAATTCCTGTCTCTCGCCTTCCTTCTACATTCCAGACACATTTTTTTCTTTGTCTCTCGTGCTGTGTCCCAGGAATTTCAATGCATTTTGGCGGATGGAGAGAAAGAGAGAGAAAGGGAGGATGGGAAGGTAGGGAGGGATGGGGGAGGGAGGGATGGGGAGGGTAGGGAGGGATGGGGAAGGTAGGGAGGATGGGGAGGTAGGGAGGGATGGGAAGGTAGGGAGGGAAGGGGAAGGTAGGAGGGATGGGAAGGTAGGGAGGGATGGGAAGGTAGGAGGCAGAGAGGGAGAGAGAGAGAGAGAGAGAGAGAGAGAGAGAGAGAGAGAAGAGAGAGAGAGAGAGAGAGAGAGAGAGAGAGAGAGAAAGAGAAAGAGAAAGAGGAAAGAGAGAGAGAGGGAGGGATGGGGAGTAGGGTAGGGAGGGGAGGAGGTGAGGGAGGGAGGGAGGGAGGGAGAGGGAGAAGAGAGAGAGAGCAGGAGAGAGAGAGAGAGAGAGAGAGAGAGAGAGAGAGAGAGAGAGAGAGAGAGAGAGAAGAGAGAGGGAAGGAGGGAGGGAGGGATAGGGAGGTAGGGAGGGAAGGGGTAAGGGGGGAGGGAAGGGAGGGAGGGAGGGAGGGAGGGAGGGAGGGGGGAGGGAGGGAGGGAGGGAGGGAGGGAGGAGAGAAGAGAGAGAGAGAAATGAGAGAGAAAGAGAGAAAGAGAATGGTGAGGGGAGGGGTGGGAGGGAGGGAGGGAAGGGAGGGAGGAGTGGGAGGGAGGGAGAGGAAGAGAGAGAGAGAGAGAGAAAGAGAGAGAGAGAGAAAGAGAGAGAGGGATGGGATTAGGGAGGGAGGGAGGGAGGGGAGGGAGGAGGGAGGAGGGAGGGAGGAGGGAGGGAAGGAAGGAAGGAAGGAGGGAGAGAGAGAGAGAGAGGAGAGAGAGAGAGAGAGAAGAGAGAGAGGAGAGAGAGAGATGAGAGAGACAGTACGAGAGAGAGAGAGAGAGAGAGAGAGGAGAGAGAGAGAGAGGAGGGGGGGGGAGGGGATGGAGGGAGAGAGGGAGAGATAATAAGAGAAAAGAAGAGAGAGAGATTGGTTACAATGAATATCCTCTTGCTGCTATGACATACTATCTCTTTTATTTTGCTTCTGAACCTCCCCCTGTGTGCAAGGAATGGCCAGGGTTTCCATCCACCGGAAGCGCGCGTGACTGAACGCAGGTCAGCAAGATTGCTTGACCAACACGCTGACCACTGCACCACACAGCACACCTTTTTTTAAGATTTAGTTTCAATTCCATTTGTTGCAATGGATATCATTTGCTGTGACATACTGTCTGTTTTATTTACCTTCTGCTGTGTGCAATGAATGGTTTGGGTTACCATCCACTGGAAGCAGGATAGAACGCAGGTCAGTAAGATTGCTAGATCAGGCAGTTACCATTGCACGACACAGCAACAGAGAGAGAGAGGTGGAGGGGGGGGGGAAAGAGAGAGAGAGAGAGAGAGGAGGGAAAGAGGGAGGGAAAGAGAGAGAGGGGGGAGGGGAGGGGGAGAGGGAGAGGAAGAGAGAAAGGAGGAGGAGGGAAAGAGGAGAAGAGAGAGAGAGAGAGAGAGAGAGAGAGAGAAAGGGAGGGAGGATAGATAGATAGATAGATAGAGAGAGAGAGAGAGAGAGAGAGAGAAGAGAGAGAGAGAGAGAGAGAGAGAGAGAGAGAGAGAGAGAGAGAGAGAGAGAGAGAGGAAGAGGAGGAGAAACTCGCATCCACTTACATCTTCCCAAAAAATATAAACCTAAACAAATGTATCTCTTTCCCTCGGCAATCTGAGGTAAGATTCTCCCACTTCTTTCCCTTAATACAATGAATAACCAACCCACCATGTAATTTCAAATAATACCATATACACTATACGTATTATTCCAGCTGAATTTCGCAACGGAAAGATATGCACAATTTATAACCAAAAAGAAACCCAACTATGACTGTATGCATTCGTCGCAGCTGACTTTTGCAATGGGGAAAATTGCACACAATTTATAACCCAACCTACCATGTGTTCCTTCCAAAGAATAACCAAGCCACCACACAGTCTCACATAATTTCCTTCTACCGTACTTTACCAACGGAGAATATTCGCCACGATAAGACATACGCCATTTACAGCCCAACCGCGATATAATTCCCCTTTTAATACCACCTCCCTCCGTTGCTCCTTTTGCAGCTGACTTTCGCGATGGGAAAGCTCTTCTTCGACGACCCTCTGCATCGCCTCGGGCTCTTCACCTTAGGCTGCTCCCCCGGGGGTACCTCCTCGAACTTCTGGACCCTCATGTTCAACGGAGACATCAATCTGTCAATCACCATGACCATAATTTCAACCATCGCTGCCATGGGTACGTTGATAGGCGTTTTCGCTAGGATTAGTAGATGATAGTAC